GACAATATATACATTCTGAAACACCTGTTAGATAGGGAGTTGAACAAGAAGGGAGGAAAGCTGTATGGATTGTTTATTGACCTGAAGGCTGCATTCGATAACGTGGATAGAGAGAAATTGTGGGAGGAAATGAGGAGGAGAGGTATCACAGAACAACTGATAGGGAGGGTGAACGAGATGTACAGGGAGACGATGGCCAAGGTTAAAGTGGGGGAAGAGTTAAGTGAGGTATTCTGGACGACAAAGGGATTGAGACAGGGGTCCCACACTATTTGCAATATATACGGCGGATTTGGAAAAGAGACTTGTGAAGGGGCAAATGGGTGGCGTATGCGGACGATTTGGTGGTCGTAGCTGGAGAGGCGGTGGAGATGATGAGGTCCCTGGAAAAATATTTTAAGGCGAAGGGGTTGGAGGTAAACGTCGAGAAAACAAAGATAATGAAGTTCTGCAAAGGGGAGAGAAGAAAGAAGAAGGAATGGAGGTGGCAGGGAAGAGAGATTGAGCAAGTGAAAGAGTACACGTACCTGGGATATGGGTGATGGAACAGGTTTGGGGAAAGAACTTTTGGGAGGGACGTCGGAAAATGAAAGGTTATGTTTGATGGCTTGGTAAGGAGCACAATTGGCGCAGAAGTATGGGGATGGAGAGAACAAGGTTTGCTGGAGGATACACAAACACCGTATTGGAGATGGGTACTAGGTTTGGCAAGGGAGACTCCAGGGTATGTAGTGAGGGAGGAGGTTAAAGTGGATGTTGTAAGGAAATAATAGAAGCATTGCAGGATCCTGGGAGAGTGCTGGAGGGAAATTAAGGAGAGGAGGCTGATCTATGAGCAAAGAGACAGGGAAGAATATTATAGAAAAGTGGGATACTCACTAACTGGGATCGAAAACAGAAGAGCGGAAAGAGGTGAAATGTGGAGAGAACTGAGAGATCGAGGCAGAGACATACAGAGGCGGGAAAGAAGGTCACAGATACGAGATGGGAGATACAATGAAAGTATAGTGACATAGGAGATAGTGACAGAGGATCTGCCAAAGTATTTGTTGATGGAGGGGGATGATGAAGAGAAGAGATTGGTGGCCAGATTTCGCTGTGGCAATGAGGAGAGGGGGCATAGGTACTGGGCGGACGATGTGGAGAGGTGGTGTAGGCTGTGTGGAGAGGATTGGGAGACGCTGGAACCTATGCTGAGAGGGTGTAGTGAGCTAAGGGAGGAGGCAATGGACAAGAAGCAGATTTTGGGAGAGGGAGGCTAGGGCAAAAGATAGATGAGGGAGGCGATGGGGACGAGGGGCCGAAGGTGTGGAAAGGGGGGACGAGGGTAGAGGATCTGGAGGTATATATAATGCNGAGAACAGACAAATCGAAATATGTAAAAATATACAGGGTGTTCCATTTAAAAAAATAAAGTACCTGGCGACTTCCGGTATAACCGGAAGTGCTAGAAATCTGAAAATATTTTAGTCGAATAGAACGCAATTGATAATACTTAAATCTGAATTCTCAAATTTTTAGTTTGGCCAGAACCCCAGAAACGTCTAATGACCGGTCTCGCTGAGACACCCTGTATAATCAGGAAAATGTGAATGATAAAATAACTTTTTTCAATAATTGTTTACTTACTCTGATGGATTTGCATGCACCTTTAAAAACTAGACGGTTTACAAAGCCTCCCAGTCCCTGGCTAACAGATAATACTAAACTATTAATGTCTATTCGATATGATGCGCTTAAAAAATTGAAAAAGTCTAAGCTAACTCAAGACTGGGTTTCATACAAGTTGCATCGCAATCTGGTAACATCAACGGTGCGGGCTGAAAACAAGGCATACTGTGATTATGCCTTACGTAGTAAAGATCCAAAAGCTCTTTGGAGAAAGATTAAAAAGTTTAAATATAATTAAAAAAACTGATAACAATGTACCTAACATTTTTCTTCCAAACGATTTAAATAATTATTTTGTTCACGGTGATTCTTCAGTTTATATTCAGACTGATCCCGAATTACCCATATTTTATCAAAATAATGTAAATCCTAGAGTGCAGATAATGCTAGCTTTTATGCCCGTTGATGAACATGAACTATCTATAATAATTAATAACATTAAAACCCAGTCTGGATGATTGACTTGTGTATAAAGTATCTTCCTCTTCTGCCCTAAGGGATTTTAGGCCGATCAGTATCCTACCAGTAATGTCAAAAATTTTAGGGAGAGTCTTGGAAAGACAACTTAGAGCACACTGCGAAAGTTATAATATACTGCCAGATTAACAATCTGGGTTTCGTTTGGGTTTCAGCTGCGCAACAGCTTTATTGAACCTTACTAATGAGGTATTTGTTTCTAGAGAGCCCGGGCAAGCCGCATTTTTGTTATCGTTGGACTTCACCAAAGCATATGATAGAATGAGTTCTTGTGCATTCGCAGATTCTCTTGTATGATGATGATACACAGCTTCTGCTGAATTTTGATCCAAATAATTGGTATGATGCCTGCATAAAATTTAACTCAGATGTAGCATTATTTTCTGATGTTGCGAAACGCCATGAGCTTATGCTTAATCCATCTAAGTCTTCTGTTCTTCTGGTTTGTGGTAGTGTCGCAAGGAGAGCAATTAAACCTTTGGTAAATTACTGCGACGTTGTTTATGGTCCAAATTTAACGGGGGCGACTGGACGTCGTATCCAGAACCTCCAGAATGGTTGTCTAAGGTTTATTTACGGAATTCGTAAATATGACCATATTAGACATAAGTTGGCAGAGACTGGGTGGTTGAACATGAAGAACAGATGTAAACTGCATGCAACTTGCGTTTATTATAAAATTATTAAAAGTCAACGGCCTCCTTACTTGCTGCAACGCCTATCTTTCAGAAGCGATGTCCATAATATTAATGTAAGAAGGAAAGATGTATTGACAGATAGCCAAAACGTATAATGGTTCATCTACCAGTGAACCTTATGGCATTGAGCTGTATTTCGTTCAAGACTAAGTTAAAATCCTCCCTCCTGCTTGAGTCATTATGATTTTTTTTATATTCTGAGCTACTACCATCGCTTTATACTGGCATGTCGTCGTATTTTGATATTTTGTTTTTTTTTTCATTTTGTTTTATTGGTATTATTAAAAAGATTTTCTTTTTTGTTTCATATACAGGGTGATTCTCAACCTATATACCCGCATAAACTGAGGGATGTATTCCTCAGGACAAATAATGAATAATAGATGAAAAAAATTGTAGTAAAAGTTTTTTAGTTTCCTAGATATCCGATATAACCGGCGACATCTAGATACTGTTTCCTGGAAGATGGATAGGTCAAGATGGTTCAATGGTCTGGCCACAGTGATCGCCCGGTGTCAATCCTCTTGATTTTTACTTTTCGGGTAACTTAAGAAACATAATGTACGCCACGGAAGTTCATACTGAGCAAATGTTGTAACATCAGATACATGCTGCTGCCCAGATAATCCGCTAACACCCTGGTTTAGGCCGCTCTAGTGGGAGATCGTGGGTTCGGGGAGTTCAATTGATAGGAAATATGGAAAATGACTTCGAACATTTTCTGTGATGTTATTTTAAAATGTTCTATGCATTCTTAATTTGAAAGTAAATTTCATGGATATCTATGAAACAGAAAATATTTTACTACAAATTTTTTCGCCTATTACTCATTATTTGTCGTGAGGAGTAAATCTCCACGTTTATGCGTATAGGTTGAGCATCACCCTGTATACATATATTTTCTATATATTCTGAATTAAGTGGAAGAGCAGTTGGTTAATAACCAAACTGAACTTCGTCCAGAAAATAAATCTATTTTCTAAGAATGTTTTATTATTTTTTTCTTTTTTGCGACTTATTAATAAAGGCATTTATTATTATTATTATTAAATTAAATTATTTGACCATGTTTAGTAACACGCAAATAACTTGGCGAAGCAGCGTGGGTCAACCTAATTTTGGCCAGTTATGTCAAGCTAACTCGTGATGGCAATGGAATACACGAATATAGTCAAGCTTAAGGAAAGGGCGTAGAAAAAAGATGTTCTACAAATATGATATTAGCCACATCTGGGTTAATAACGAATTCTTGAATTTGATGTGAACTCAACTAGAATTTAGATTCTGTTACTGCCCAATATTTACAATTCATATCCAGATTTAGCTCTTCATACTTTCTCAACAGATATTTTACATTATTCTAATCCTTTCCTCATTTTCTCATCCTCCTTCATTGTTGGACACCATCAAATACTCCGTAATGCCTATGTTGTGGTGTTTCTATAAATCTCATTATTATAGATTTCCAATTCTTTTGTATCCAATCATTTAGCCATTCTGACTCAAAATGTATATAAAATTTGTGATTAAATAGATTAATGCTTTTGAAAGAAAGTTAGAAAACACGTAAATAATGATTAAATCATATAAACAAGTTGTTACTTTTAACCGAAAGATTTATAACTTTCAACAATTTCCTTTGTTTTCTTTTACCGCATTATGACAAAATAATCGGTTACAAAACGCGAAAACCTAATTACTTTTCATAATAGGCACAACCGAACCATTAAAAGAAACGAATAGTTTCTCATTGTGAAGTTTACACCGAAATCTTTTATAATAATCACGTTACGTCACGATTAACCGAGTTAAACAAGTTGTCGAAGGTTGTTAAGAAAGTATCTAATCATAATTACAACGTACGATATTTTCCACTTTTTATTCTTTGTATGGCGGAACAGGTCGAGGTATGAGGTCACAGCAATTACCACCATTTCAAAACGCATCCTTAACGAACCGACCACCGTTAAATCTTGTATATCCCGGATTAAAACGTCCTCCAACTTAACATGAGGATCAATAACATGCAAAGCGTGTGTATGTATATAAGGGAGAGTTGTATCTCCCCTACTAACACACACCGAGTAATGATATAACTTGTAGCGATAATAAAATTTGTAATGAGTAATGACAATTTTTTTTTTGTATTTTCAGATGCATAGTTCTTCTTTTGACGTAGACAGGGATTGTTTTAGAGATAGCGGTGACGTTCTCGTCACCGTTGCAGCTTTGGTTACCGAAGGACGTATTCCCGGAAAAGTGAATAAATCGAAGGGATTTTATGAAGGTCCGCATTGTCCCGCGGGAAAACAAACTTTGCCTCAGGAACATAGATGCAACGCTACCGATATTTTGGTAAGTAAAAATTTAAAAAAAAAATTGGATAATAACCACATTGGTTTCCGTGACCTCTTATCGATTTTGCTTGGGTTTTCGCTACTTTAGAAGAGCGACACGTGCCTGCATTAGTAATACAATCGATTTCGAAAGGTTCGTGGTATGAATAGGTAGCGGAAAGTCGGATTGACTTTACAGCTGTCGATGACAATGGTTAAAGCTTATGGATACACAATTGGTTTTGTTTTATTTTCAGTGCCAACAGTACAAATCTGTTCAAAACCAGATATTGAATCTTTGCATGAAGAATATTCCGGTTTGCGTCGAAGTTCTTTTGGTACCCAATTGTAATTGTAACAAACAGGATTCTATTGACTCGGCTTCTGATAACGTTTCCGGAGAAGGACTTCTTTTAGAACAATGGCATCTATCGGTCAACCAACATAGGTAAGAAACAAAAAAAATGAGTTGTTCAGAATAATCCTTAATTCCTATCATTTCGGACCTTTAAATTCTAATAACATAAATATTTTTAATATTTATAGACCTTCCGACATCTCTTCCCCTTTCACCTTCAACCAACTGATCAACGCCGTTCGTTCTCAATTATACTTCTCACAAATATCAGCATGGTTATCCTCGCAGCAAGAAACAGAGGTGAAACTAACCCCGAGAAACTTCAAATATCGTTTGGCGATCCCAGGAGAAACCTACCAAATATCCATGTTCAACACCACAGTGACGAAACACACTTTTCCGCCCACGGATTTAGGCAATGGTTTTTCCCTAAATATTACATTATCCAGCTTGCCCAGGATGTCCACGATGCCCAACCTAATATGTAAAAGATGTACTTCAAATTCAATCCCTAAAACAATTCACCAGGAAGAAAGAAAAAAATCAAAAGATGACGAAAAAACCGGATTATTCGACGATAGGATGCATACAAGTTGTACTTTGATGGGCAAGCATCGTTGCGAAGACCTAGACGAGTTCGATCCGAGCGTTAAAAAGGAGTGTAAATTCGTGAAGAGATGTCAAAATCATTTTTTAGACGAACAACCATCGACTTCTAAACAACAACAATCAAGTTATTATTGTGGTAAAGAGGCGTCGACGAGCTATCAATTTCGAGATGAATTTAAAGAGAAGAAAAAATTTAACGGGGCTGGAAAGATCGAAAAAAGAAACTGTTCGGTACAAGAACAATCGGTGAAGACGCCTAAATTAGATTTGAACGAAATTAAAGACGCCCTGAAAGTTTTCGATAAAATTGATCTCAGCAAGAGGCAAAACGAAGGTGGCGACGTTTTGCTTAATGCCATCCTGAGGAGTTGTCGCCTTCAAAACAACGAGGGCACAACTCTGCCGTGTGGCAAAGACAGTAGTACAAATAACGACACTGTTGACGTTGTTCAAACGGGTAAATGTGATAATATGCTGAATCGGTGTGAAAGCGGTGATATTTTTAGTTATAAGACAAACATTAGTATGTACGTAGGTAGCAATTGTGATAACAAGGCCCATAACAACAGTAGTAACGCTGGTAGTAATGGCCACAGATGCAATAAACTTAGGGAACACTTTCCGAGGTTGTACAACGGAAAAGTTCGACAAAAATTGGACTTTGACAACTTTCCCAGCATTGACAAAAAATATAATGATGCTAATAAAATTATCGACGATACCAATAAATTAAACGGTGAAGAAAGGATTGTTAATGGCGAGAAAAAGTTTGTTGAACCAAATAAGATTGAGACGACGAAGAAAATTAATCAAATAGTTGACGTGCCATCATCGATTGAACAGGCGAAGTTTAGAAAATCACTGGATAATGCGGCTTCTATGGTTTTTCATTCAAGATCTGGATTACCTTTAACTAGCAGTCCAGCTCCGGTACGACGAGGAAAATGTTTTGATTTCGATTCCAGTATTAATTCAGTTTCTGCAATTAAGAGGTTGGTAAATATCTAATTAATTTAATTATTTTAATAACTATAATTAATTTAATTGCTTTATTTTCTATAAAATCGTTTAATATTTTATTCTAAATTAAATCGTTAAAAAGATTAATTTGACCGTTTCGGTATTTTTAAGAATGTATGTATATTTATAGAGACAAGAAATAAATGTGCAACAAACAAGTTGCATATTCAAATTATCCTTGTCATCAATAATAAAATCTTAGTAGTAAATCTTCCTCGATATATGTCATAAGGCAACATGATATTGTTACTATACATTGATTGAATGATACAATGAAGCTGTCATCGAAACTATTGCGAAATTATTTCCTCAAAATAGTTGACTGTCCATAAGGTAAGCTAAAGCTTACTAAAGCTTTTGATATACACTTGATTATTGTGGTAGACTTTTAAATTATGTGCTGATAGATAGACATATATAATTTGATCAATAATATTCTAGTAGACAAATTACAACACTTATAAAGAAGCTTTTACAAAAAGACAAAAACAGAACACAAAAACATCTACAATGACGCAGAAATTTATGCAAGAAAGTTCAAAAAACTTACATTGAAAATTGCAGAAAGCAAGAACACCATCACTAACACAAAAGTTTGTCTGTGTAACACAAAAAGAGAGATTGGGGACAGTTATTGCATAATGACAAGAACACATGACACTGACAGAAAAATGGGAACTAATCTGACAGAGGATGTTGATAAAGACATTTCTGCAGAAGCTCTGACGGAGGAGTTTGCAGAAATGAAAAAAACGCCGCTTTTGACTAGGAATACCGATAGTAAAGTTTCTGCTGAATAACAATAATACCAATATAAAATCCAGTTCTTGGAATATGAGTATAAAAATTTCCCAAAATGTTAATAAAAGTGTCCTCTTTCCAATGAACCAACCCATTTTGAAAAATAACTTTTAGTTTTTGAGAAAACAATATTTGAAATTTTGATAAAATTTTCGATGTTGCAATTTTCATCGATAATTTTCAAAATTCGCTATAAAATTAATTTCTTGAAGGATCCTTGTGGAAATATCACCAATTATTAATTAAAGTATCCTCTTTTTAATGCAAAAAGCCGTTTTGAAAAATCACTTTTAATTCTTGAGAAATAAATTTTTGAAATGATCGAAAATTTTTTCGAATTTTACAATTTTTGCTGTTTAAGTTTTAAAAATTGCTATAAAATCCAGTTTTTGAAATATCACTATGATAATTTCCCAAAATATTAATAAAAGTGTCCCTCTTTCCAATGAACCAACCCGTTTCGAAAAATAACTTAGTTCTTGAGAAATAAATTTTTGAAATAATCGACAATTTTTTTGAATTTTGCAATTTTCGTCGATTAAGAATTCGTATAAAATCCATTTCTTGGAATATGAATTTGAAAATTTCCCAAAGTGTTAATAAGAGTGCCCTCTTGCCAATGAACTAACCCGTTTTAAAAAATAACTTTTAGTTTTTGAGAAAACAAATTTTGAAGTTTTGATAAAATTTTTGATGTTGCAATTTTCATCGAAAACTTTCAAAATTCAGTATTAAATTATTTTCTTGAAGTATCCTTGTGGAAATATCACCAATTATTAATTAAAGTATCCTCTTTTTAATACAACAAGCCGTTTTGAAAAATCACTTTTAGTTCTTGAGAAATAAATTTTTGAAATAATCGAAAATTTTTTCTAATTTTGCAATTTTCACCGATTAAATTCTCAAAATTCGTATAAAATCCAGTTCTTGGAATATGAGTATACAAATTTCCCAAAATGTTAATAAAAGTGTCCTCTTTTCAATGAACCAACCCGTCTTGAAAAATAACTTTTAGTTTTTGAGAAAACATTATTTGAAATTTTAATTGATAATTGATTTTCATCGATAACTTTCAAAATTCGCTATAAAATTAATTTTTTGAAGGATCCTTGCGGAAATATCACCAATTATTAATTAAAGTATCCTCTTTTTAATGCAACAAGCCGTTTTGAAAAATCACTTAGTTCTTGAGAAATAAATTTTTGAATTAATCGACAATTATTTTTAATTTTGCATTTTTCGCCGATTAAGTTTTAAAAAATCGTATAAAATCCATTTCTTGGAATATGAGTTTGAAAATTTCCCAAAGTGTTAACAAAAGTGTCCTCTTTCCAATGAACCAACCCGTTTTCAAAAATAACTTTTACTTTTTGAGAAAACAATATTTGAAGTTTTGATAAAATTTTCAATGTTGCAATTTTCATCGATAACTTTCAAAATTCGCTACAAAATTAATTTCTTGAAGGATCCTTGTGGAAACCAATTATTAATTAAAATATCCTCTTTTTAATGCAAAAAGCCGTTTTGAAAAATCACTTTTAGTTCTTGAGAAATACATTTTTGAAATGATCGACAATTTTGCGACACTGATAGAGTATACGGGCTGAGATGTTTTCAGAAAGAAAAGGACAGTTTCAAAGACAATCCAATAAGTTTTAGTTGTAAAAAATTAAAAAGTATATAAATTAATATAATATGCACAAAGCCGTTAAAATTGTTTTTTAATATCCACGTTTTATGCTACATATTCACTATGTTCATATCAACAGAATTTATAGCTTTATTGGAATGATGCATAAATTGGAACCGTTTGGATTTAGAATTGCTATGGTAATGAAACTAACTCCTACAAACTTAATCACAATTAGTGAAATCAATTCGTACAAAAATGTTCTAGATTAATTTAATGAAATTTACCTTTTATACACCAGACCTTGAGAAAACTCTCCAAAAACATTAACATTGATAAAGAACGCTGATAAAAAAACTTATTGAGAACAACATCAACAATAATTATAAAAATAGAACATTTTCTTCAGATTCAAAAATTTGTGTAAAATGATAAAGTATATGTACTGGCAAAAGTATTTGTAGGAAGAAAAGATGAAGAAGACGCTTGACACTACAAAGAATCCTAACGGAGAATTTTCTACAAAACAAGAAAGAATTGACTGACAATTTTCTACAAAAAGGTATAAACAGTACCATTAACAGAGAGCACCAACAGAATTGTTTCTGCTAAATGACATTAGCACCAACAATAATATAGAAGTTTGTGCACAAAGGCCAGAGTACTGATACTAATAAATAAGTAGTAGTAGCAGATATATTTAAGACGGAAAGAGTTATTATCAAAACATTAACAAACAAAATTCTGCAAAGGAAAGGCGGCTCCCATTGAGAATTTTGTGCAAGAGGCAAAAATACTGCGAATAGTAGAGAAACGATTCTACTGAATGACAACATTACCACAGTAATACCATGGCATTGCAGTGTAAAATGTTAAAAGTATTGTATTTATAGAATTTATCAACGATATATTTAATGATTAAGAAAAATGACTAAGTCTAATACCAAGTCTTGTGTTCTACAAGTTAGTAGTAACTAATAGAATACACAATGCACACATATTCGACATATTTCAGACACTATAATACATGCACACATGTTAGTGCAGTCAGTAAGAGACAAATATAATAATAAAAAACTTGCAATTATGATTGATTGACAAGCTTGATTTGTTTAATCAAAATTTAATATCTATGCACCAGCAGTAGACACTGTTAGAAAATTTCCACTGAAAAAGAAGAACTATATACCTATAGTAACACTGCCAGTATATGCTACTGGCTGAACTGTGTGCAAAAAAGTTTCTACCAAGACAAAAACATTGCATCTCTATAATTCAACATATATTCTGCATTGGGAAACGGAATATACTATACATTTGTATTTGTTAATTGTCATTCCAGAACTATGAGGAATAACAATATATGCAAAGATAAAAAACAAATATTGTGCTATAAATATTAACACAACTATTACTGAAACCGATCGATTTAATTCTTTAAGACGAATTAAGATTAATTAATAAACATCTTCTTGTTTTATTTTAGCGCTTTGTTTGCGGATAATTTCAATGATGAAGACAGTGAGAGCGACGGTAGTGTCGTATCTCCAAGAAGTCCGGATGCGCACGCGCCTCCCAGGTTCGTCCCGGCTACGAAACGTTGCAAAAAACGGCACTCATCGAATTTGCTAGGTTGGTAGTCACAAAAACACAGAGTGTCTCTCTCTATCTATGGGCGGTCTCAGATTAAAACCATGAAATGAAACTATGTATAAACACATGTGTATGCCAAAAGGACTCTACCTCCTCCTACCCCCTCAGAGCGTTTCATTATTATGTACGTACAATTATTACCGTTAGTTTATTTATTCGTTCGAAAAAAAAAAAAATTAAGTATTAAATTATTTTCAGGAGGTTTTATTTTTTATTTTAGTAAAGTCGAAAGTGCCTTGGTTTATAATATTGTTGTAGTTCTTTTTAGATTTTATTATTTATGAAAAGTCTTCTATTGTGTTGTGTGTGGGTTTTTTTGTTAGCAATTGGCACAAATTTGCAAAAAAAAATATTAAAATCTGAATAAAAACAGAAATTCCCTACAAAAAAAATATCCCGTATTTTATATACAGGGGTCACACCAGATTCTAGTGAATTATTAAGGTATGGTTCCTGTATTATATGTATATTTTTTATGTTATAAAGCGTACGTTTACATCTACAAAATATTTACACCTTTGCAAAGCACTTTCACCCATTTATTTAATTTTATTGTTATATAAATTAATAAAATTGACTTAATATTTTTACTTAAATAGGAAGTTTTGAAGAATCGGTTTTAAACGGCCGATTGGAACCTGTTTCAACCGTTCATGGATTTAAAGCTGAACTTGGAGCGAGTGGTTCTTTTATTCCTAAACATCTAACCGTTCCAGTTACTGTGTTCTTTTACACTTTAGGAGACAACGATAAAGTTTCATCTCCATATTTGGTAAGAATTGTAAAACGATGAGTACTAAAAAATTGAGATTTCTAAATTTTATTTTGTTTAGGGTCATATCAACTTGGGTAAAAAAGGATACAATGTACCTCCGACGGGAACTCTTCAAGTTACATTATATAATCCATCTGGTACGGTAGTAAAGATGTTTGTTATAATGTACGACCTAAGTGATATGCCTCCAAATACCAAAACCTTTATCAGACAGAGAACGTTGAATATTCCTGATGATTATAAGAATACCAACGATCTTGAACTGAGTCCAAAGTGGCTGAGATATTTAATACATTTAAGGTTGGTATTAATAGATGGTTTTTATGAAAATATTTATTATTTATTAGATTTAATGTAATTTAGGTTATTTCAAAATGACATACTCTCCACTATATATCCATCCAATATCTGTTCATCTCTTTTGATTTAAAGCACGTGAAATTATGTTTCCACACCTCTAATTAAAATTAAGAAAACGGCGATAAATTCTTAAGATAATAAGTATTGAAGTTAATACAAATATTTATGTTTTTTGAGTAGCTTTAAAAACTCCTGAACAATTGATTTCTTGGAAAATTGTTATGAATTTTTCACCAATTATTAATTAAGCACTCTCATTACAATGAACAAGTCCGTTTTGAAATATCTCTCTTAGTTCTCGAGATATTAAGTAATGAAGTTAATATTAATATTGAGGTTTTTTTGAGTAACATTAAAAATTCCTAAAAAATCGATTTCTTGGAAAATGGATACAAAATTATCATCAATTACTAATTAAAGCATATACTTTCTAATGATAAAGTCCGTTTTGACATATCTTACTTAATTCTTGAGATATAAATTGCTGGAATTAATTGGAAATTTTTACCATATTTTGAATAACTTTAAAAATTCCTGAAAAATCTATTTCTTCGAAAATTGTTATGAAATTATTATCAATTACTAATTAAAGTATCTGTTTTCCAGTGATCAAGTCCGTTTTGAAATACGACTCTTAGTTCTCGAGATATAAATTCCTGAAGTTAATTAGAAATTTTTACCGTATTATGAGTAACTTTAAAAATTCCTAAAAAATCGAATCCTTGAGAAATTGTTATGAAATTATCACCAATTACTAGCTAAAGTATATGTTTTCCAGTGATCAAGTCCGTTTTGAAATATCTCTCTTAGTTATCGAGATATTAAGTATTGAAGTTAATATTAATACTTACGTTTTTTTGAGTAACATTAAAAAATTCCTAAAAAATTGATTTCATGGAAAATGGTTACAAAATTATCATCAATTACTAATTAAAGCATCTACTTTCTAATAATACAGTCTGTTTTGAAATATCTCTCTTAGTTCTTGAGATATTAAGTATTGAAGTTAATATTAATATTTACGTTTTTTTCAGTAACATTGAAAAATTCCTAAAAAATCGATTTCTTGGAAAATGGTTACAAAATTATCATCAATTACTAATTAAAGCATCTACTTTCTAATGATAAAGTCCGTTTTGAAATATCTTACTTAATTCTTGAGATATAAATTGCTGAAGTTAATTCGAAATTTTTACCATATTTTAAACAACTTTAAAAATTCCTGAAAAATCGATTTCTTGGAAAATTGTTATGGAATTATTACTAATTACTAACTAAAGTATCTGTTTTCCAGTGATCAAGTCCGTTTTGAAATATGAGTCTTAGTTCTCGAGATATAAATTCCTGAAGTTAATTAGACATTTTTACCGTATTATGAGTAACTTTAAAAATTCCTAAGAAATCGAATCCTTGAGAAATTGTTATGAAATTATCACCAATTACTAGCTAAGGTATTTACTTTCTAATGATTAAGTCCGTTTTGAAATATCTCTCTTAGATCTTAAGATATTAAGTATTGAAGTTACCATTAATGTTTACGTTTTTTTGAGTAACATTGAAAAATTCCTGAAAAATCGATTTCTTGGAAAATGGTTACAAAATTATCATCAATTACTAATTAAAGCATCTACTTTTTAATGGTAAAGTCCGCTTTGAAATATCTTACTTAATTCTTGAGATATAAATTGCTGAAGTTAATTGGAAATTTTTACCATATTTTGAATAACTTTAAAAATTCCAGAAAAATCGATTTCTTGGAAAATTGTTATGAAATTATTATCAATTACTAATTAAAGTATCTGTTTTCCAGTGATCAAGTCCGTTTTGAAATACGACTCTTAGTTCTCGAGATATAAATTCCTGCAGTTAATTTGAAATTTTATCCGTATTATGAGTAACTTTAAAAATTCTTAAAAAATCGAATCCTTGAGAAATTGTTATAAAATTATCACCAATTACTAGCTAAAGTATCTACTTTCCAATGATCAAGTCCGTTTTGAAGTATCACTCTTAGTTCTTGAGATATAAATTACTGAACTTGATTAGAAATTTTTATCGTGTTTGAGTAACTTTAAAAATTCCTGAAAAATCTATTTCTTGGAAAATTGCTAAGAAATTTTCACCATTTATTAAGCAAAGCACCCCCTTTCCAATGGACAAATCTATTTTGAAATATCACTTTCGGTTCTTAAAATATAAATTGTTAAAGGTAATTGGTAATGAATATCGTTTTGTGAGTAATTTTGAAACATTCGCTGCAAAATAGATCTCTTGGGAAATTGTTATGAAATTTTTACCAATTACTAATTAAAGCACCCCCTTTCTTATGATCTAGTCCGTTTTGGAATATCTCGCTTAGTTGTTAAGATATTAAGTATTCAAGTTAATATAGATATTTATGTTTTTTTGAGTGACTTTAAAAACTCATGGAAAAATCGATTTCTTGGAAAATTATTATGAAATTATTACCAATTATTAACTGAAGCATCCAGTTTCCAATGATCAAGTCCGTTTCGAAATATCTGTTTTACTTCTTAAAATATTAAGTGATGAAGTTAATATAAATTTTTTAATATAAGTTAATATAAGTTTTTTAAGTAGCTTTAAAAAATCCTGAAAAATTGATTTCATAGAAAATTGTTATGAAATTTTCACCAATTATTAATTAATACCTTTTAAGAAGAAGAAGAAAACAATATTTATTTGGACTTATATAAAAATTATAACAATAAGAAATACGAAAAGAAATATATATACATATAAAATAAATATAAAAAAAAAGTCCAAAACGGCTGTAGACCTGAGTCTTCCTGCCCAACCTTTTAATTTTATTAGCTCCGAATAGCCCCTAAAGTCTCTCTAGCCACTCTAACAATGAGTCCCAATGTCTTTCGTTTTTAACAGCTCCCAGTTGATTTCAATATCTTACGCTTTTAAATACTCTAAATATCTGTCAGTAGCCCTTATTGGCACGCAGTACATCCAACATCTCCCACTGATTCCAAATACCTTTCGTTAACTAATATGCACTCGCTTCAAAACCTTCTATAACCTCTTAACGCTTCTCAACGTTTCTGAATCCTTCTCACCGACTCCAAATGACTTCTAACACGTATATCTTACGCTTATGAATGTTTGCTTAGCCATTCATTTGAAGTATATATTTAAAAATGAGGTTTCAAATCAATATTTTTGACACTATCTTATTCTTGAACGTTTTCTATATCAAAATTAAAGGAAAATTTTCTCAATCGTTTTATAGGTACTTCTTTTAAACAATCGATTTTCTTCAAATACTAACGAGGTGATTGGAATTTCACATTAATTCCATTAAGAACTCGATTAAGGTTAATCGCCTTGTTAAACCAAGCTGAAGCTCGATTAGCATCACTGTTAGCATAGATTTACTGAAAATCATGGTTTGATAATGATACATTTTTGATTGAATGGTAATTAAGACTTCAATCGATTAGCGTTCGCTTAAAGTTAATTAATCGTCACACTTAAAATTGTATAAAATCTTACTTTAAGTGATACAGTTTGACGATAAACATTCGATTAAAGTTTTATGAAACCCATTTTTGATTTCTTGCGACTCTAACTCAGAATTAACGTTCGATTACCGTCAGGTTAAGTGTTGATTAACATTCGATTTAGGCTCTATAAAATCCGCTTTGACTTAATATAATAATAAAACTTATTTTTGATGTAATATACACCCAAACCAAGCTTAACAGATAAATCTAATATCAGATTTTGATCAAATAGCTGATACTAGTCTTTTTGTACGATTCTTATAATTTTTCTACTTCAAAGTATCCACTACGCCCAAAACTGTTCCTGATTGAACTAATCGTACTTGCATTCCAAGACATTCATTAAGAACTAAGATAGTTATTAGTTATATACTAGTTAAATAATGTTAGAATGATATAATTTATAACATTAAAAAAATTCCTAAAAAATCGATTTCTTGGAATATGGTTACAAAATTATCATCAATTACTAATTAAAGCAACTACTTTCTAGTGATAAAGTTCGATTTGAAATATCTTACTTAATTCTTGAGATATAAATTGCTGAAATTAATTGGAAATTTTTACCATATTTTGAATAACTTTAAAAATTCCTGAAAAATCGATTTTTTGGAAAATTGTTATGAAATTATTACCAATTACTAATTAAAGTATCTGTTTTCCGTTTTGAAATATCACTGTTAGTTCTCGGGATATAAATTCCTGAAGTTAATAAGAAAATAATAATATCGTTTCGTGAGTAATTTGAAACATTCGCTGCAAAATCGATCTCTTGGGAAATTGTTATGAAATTTTCACCAATTGCTAATTAAAGAACCCCCTTTCTTATGATCAAGTCCGTTTTGGAATATCTCGCTTAGTTCTTAAAATATTAAGTATTCAAGTTAATATAGATATTTACGTTTTTTGAGTTGCTTTAAAAAATCCGGAGAGATTGATTTCTTGGAAAATTGCTAAGAAATTTTCACCATTTATTAAGTAAGCACCCCCTTTTCAATGAACAAATCTATTTTGAAATATCACTCTTGATTCTTAAAATATAAATTGTTAAAGTTAATTGGTAATGAATATCGTTTCGTGAGTAATTTGAAACATTCGCTGCAAAATCGATCTCTTGGGAAATTGTTATGAAATTTTCACCAATTACTAATTAAAGCACCCCTTTTCTTATGGTCCAGTCCGTTTTGAAATATCTCGCTTAGTTCTTAAGATATTATGTGTTCAAGTTAATATAGATATTTATGTTTTTTTGAGTGACTTTAAAAAATCCTGAAAAATCGATTTCTTGGAAAATTGTTATGAAATTTTCACCAATTATTAATAAAAGAACCCCCTTTCCAATGAACAAATCCGTTTTGAAATATCTCGCTTAGTTCTTAAGATATTGTATTGAAGTTAATAGAA